TCTTTTGTTAGGTTGATTCCCAAGTATTTTATTTTTTTTGAGGATATTGTGAATGGAGTGTTTTTTCCATTCTGCTTGCTGACCAACAACATGATTCCTCTGCCGGCAGGCCTGTAATATTTGTTCTTACTTAAAAAAAAAAAAACCTTTGGGCTGGGATTGTGGCTCAGTGGTAGAGTGCTTGCCTAGCACAGGCAGGACACGGGTGTGATCCTCAGCACCACATAAAAATAAAGGCATTGTGTTATGTCCATCTACACCTAAAAATATAATAAATCTTTAAAAAAAATTTTTTTGGCTTACAAATGTAGGCTGTGGGGTTTTTTTCTGATAAAGAACAGAGTCAAGGTAATTTCCATGCTATAAGAAAACTTGAGGTATTCTAGAGAAACAAGTAGATACACCTTACTGACTTATCCTGTTAATGTTTAACAGTAACAGTTTTGCTCTTAAGCAAAAAATTCTATTTGCATTATTTCAAAATACTTTAGTAAATTGATCAAACAAATGTTGCCAAAAAGTCTTAAAAATACAAGTCTGAATCCAATTGGGGTGGATTAATCTATATACACATGTTATTTCCCTATTCTCTAATGGATAGACCTTCCCCTCCAGTCTTATTGCGAGATGGTCATGTCTGTGAGTCTTTTAGTAGTAGTAAGACATAAAATAAAAGGGTTGAAAAACAATTTCATTTAAATTATCTATGTTTTTTCTTCTTCACTGTTCCATAGATCAATGACCCATATCTCAAGTCACTGTGCCACATGGCAACACTGTGTACATGGGAACTGGTAGGTCTCCTCTCCTATTCATAACGTTAAATAGTTTGATGAAATTGGACTGCTTTGTTCTCCAGACTCTGTTCTGTCTTCTCAAAACTGTATACCTGGAAATGCTGACCTAAATCTAATAGTGATGAATTATTCATAAAGTATTTTCCAGCCAGGTATGAAGGCACACACCTATAATACCAGTGGCCTTGGAGGATGAGATAGAAGGATCACAAGTTCAAAGTCAGCCTCAGCACCTTAGCAGGGCCCTCAGCAACTTAGTGAAACACTGTCTTTAAAGAAAAAAAATTTTAAAGGGCTGAGGATATGACTCAGTGGTTAAGCACCACTGGGTTCAATTCCTGGTACCAAAAAAAAAAAAAAATTCTAACTAAATAACCAAATGAAATTAGCATGCATTAATATGACTTTGATTAATCATTTGAAGATATTTCAAATTATTTTATGGCATAATCACTTCTTCATGCCCTTAAGCAAGAATTTGCTTTGAGGGTTTCTTTTACTTGTTAACTCTGAGTACTCTTATGCTCTGAAGCTATTAAAATATAAATGTTCTTTGGTGTTACTATACTTCATGCACAACCACAGAAGTGAAAAATTCTCCATTTGTGTAAGAATGAATCAAGAGCTCTCTGCTGTCATATATAACTGATTAGAACTAATAAATTTTAAAAAAAGAATAAAGTAGATCAACAGGTATTGACATGGTATACAATTGATGAACTAAATCGGTTAGAAATGATTTGTGATATAAAGTTAGACATAGCTGTATAATACAAGATATGCATGCTAGAATATATGTGTATGCATGTACCCAAATGTGTTTATTAAAACTCCTTGTTTACCAGCAGCAACACCTCAGTATTAACAGTGGGTGCCTCTAAGGGAAGGGTTAGAGGAAAAGAATTGGGACTTTTATACTCTACCTCATAAATAACAGAATTGCCAGAATTTTTTATTTTTGCAATGAACATGTGTTACATCTGTAATAAAAAATAACATTTTAAACCAAAAAAGAAAAAGAAGAAGAAGAACATTTTTGTAACCAGGTAACAGACCAATAAATATAATTGCTAGACCTCAGGAGCACCCCTTATGCCTCTTCCCAGGGCCTGCTCTTCGCCAGAGGTCAATATTATGATGCTCAACTGCAAAAACAGTGTCATCTTGTTCTAAACATTATATAAATAGAAAAAGACAGACTTACTCATCTGTATCTGTATTTATTTGTTAACTATTATGTGTGGAATATCCAGAAATGTGGCTTCTTAGATTGATAATGTATTAGTTCTCATTGGCATATAGTATGTCCTCATATGATCATACCACAGTTTGCATAGCAATTTTCCTACTAATGACTATTTGAATTGTTTCTTGCCACAGCTATTATAAATTGTCCTTCTATGAACATATGTGTACCATCTACTAACGTTCACACAAGATAAAATATACAGCCTCAGTTGTCTGTTATCTATTGAAAAAAATGAATTTATGATTTAAAATTTTCAAAAAATTAAAGAAAAATAAAAATTAAAAAATAAAATATCAATGTTCTTTAAATTGTTTCAGTTCCTTTACAATTTATTTTGCACTGTCTTTAGAATATTATATATTTTATTCTACTATTTGGATTTAATTTGTTCTAGCTCTAAGTTTCCCAAAATAGAAATTTAAAGAATTGATTTTTAGATTTCTTCTTTTCTAATATATATATACTTAATGCTAGAAATCTCCCTCTAAGTTCCCCCATTGCATTCCACAAATCTTGACAAGTTCCATTTTATTTAAATTTAATTCAAAATACTTTTAAATTTATCTTGAGTTTTCTCTGACTCATATTATTTAGAATTATGTTGTTTTATTTTTATGTATTTTGGAATTTTCCAGTTATTTTTCTTTTATCATTTTCAAATCTAATTCTATTATGGTATGAGTAAATATATGGTTTGATTCCATTTTCTTAAATTTCATTTGGTATGCTTTATGGACAAGAATTTGATCAATCTTGATGAGAAGTACTGTGGGATTAATAAGAGTCAATTCTGTCATTGTTGGATAAAGTAGTCTGGAAATGTCAGTTTGGGTGCTGCTGAGTTCAGCTATGTCTTAACTGATTTTCTGCCTGCTGAACCTATTTCTGATGAAGGAGTGTTGAAATTTCCACCTAAAGTAGTGTGTGTATTTATTTTCTCTTCAAATTTTCAAGTTTCTTCTTCTTATGGTTTTGTAGCATGAAGCATAAATATCAGGCAGGTGGGTTCTTTGTCTCCTGAATTCAAAGAATGAAATCCAGGATACAATGGGGAGAGCAAAATAAGTAATAGAAAGAAACCAGAGCTTCCAGAGAGGGAAGGGGCCAAAATAGGGCTGTCTGTTATCTAGATGGTGTTATTGTCTAGGGGTTTTTATGGGCTTCATCTGTCTTTACAGGTGATTGACAGGATATAGGATTTAGAAAGGGACCAATCAACTTTCTCTATTGTGTCTTCTTCTGAAGAGAGTAGTTTTCAAGCCTTGATCAACATAAGGATGTGGGGAGGTGAGAGTTTGTTGGTATGAGAGGAAGTGCTTTAGAGAAGATTTTGTGGTTAGCCATTGCTAGGAGTAAGGGTTGGGGTAACTAAAGAAGAGCCTTAGTCAGCCACAGCAACAGGATATTCTAGCCAAGGAGGAGTCATTATGGTTGAAGCTGTCAGGGGAATGGCAGGATATTCTTCAGGCCCAGTGTCTCCCTCCAGGATATCATGGTCTTCTTTCCTCTTTCCCTTTTCTAAGGCCTTTATCCTATTTGCCTATGGGTGGTCTATCTTCCTGCCTCAGTTTCATAATCTATTTTTAAGCATATGCATCTTAGGAATTGTTTTATTTCCTTGGAAAATTGACCCCTTAATCCTATGTAATACCCTTATATTTCCCTGGTAATTTTTCTTGCTATATAGTGTATACTTTCTGAAGTTATAAGCAATTCCTGCTTTCCTTTGATTACTTTTAGCATGGTTTATTTTCTTTTATCCATTTACTTTTCATTTATATCCATCTTTACATATTATATTTTTGTTTTTTAAGTAGAAATAAAATTATATGTATTTGCTATATATAATGTAATGTTTTGAAGTATATATATATATATATATATATATATACATATACTCTGAAATAATTAAATTTAGTTAATAACATATACATTACATGGCATATTATCATTTGGTTTTAAAAACAGTTTGGGGCTGGGGCTCAGTGGTAGAATGCTTGCCTAGCATGTGTGAGGCACTGGATTCGATTCTCAGCACCAAATATAAATTTTAAAGGGCTGTTAAATTTTAATTAACTAAGTAATTAAAGGTCCATGGACCACTAAGAAAATATCTTTAAAAAACAACTTTACATTCACTCTGATTTTTCAATAATACAATGTTATAAATTATAGACACCATGTTCAGCAATGCTTACTTGAACCTATTCCTCCTTTGTAACAGAAATTTTATATTACTTGACCAATAACTCCTTAACCCTACCCCACCATACCAACCTCTGGTTACTCTACTCTCTATTATATGGGACTAATATTTTCGTATTACACATATGAGTTAGTACATACTGTACTTTTATTTCTGTGCCTTATTTCAGTTAACATAATATCCTTCAAGATTCATACATGTTGTCACAAATGACAGGGTTTTCATTTTAGGGCTGAATAGTATTCTCCTATAAACATATACCATGTTTTCTTTATTCATTCATTCATTCATGGACACAGATTGATTTCATATCTTGGCTATTATTAATAGTGCTACAATAACAAGAAACTGCAGATGTCCTTTTGACATATTGATTTCATTTCTTTTTAATTTATGCCAAGTAATGATATTGCTAGGTTATATTTTAGTTCTATTTTTAATATTTTGAAGAACCTCAATAATGTTTTCCATTATAGCTATAATAATTTATATTCCAGCAACAGTATTCAAATGTTACCTTTTCCCCATATCTTTTCCAACACTTATCTTTTCTTTTTTGACAATAACCATTTCTAACTGATGTGTGATAATGTGGCTTTAATGTATATTACTCTGTATTTGTATTTATATGTAAATGAGTGGCCTGTTCAAACAGTTGAGTACAGGCCACTCATTTACATGTAAATATAGTTGGGTCTTATGGTTGATTCTGACAATATGTCTTTAATTGATATGTTTGAAACATTGACATTAAAAATGATTATTGATATAGATGGATTAATCTTTTTGATGCTAGGTATTGAACCTAGGGATTTGTGCACATGCTGTACTGCAGAACCACACACCCATCCCTGTTCTGATTTTATCTTCCACATTTTTGCTTCCAATCTAGCAGTTTGTATTATTTTATTTTCTTTTTTTAGCATATTAGTTATATTTCTTTTTATGTTTTTACTAGTACATTACAGTTATACATAACATTGGGATTCATTTTGACGTAATTATATAAGCATGGAATATAACTTGCTTTCACTTCAGTCCCGACTACCTCCTCTTTCCTTTTCTCCTTTCTCCATTTGTTCCCCTTCTTTACTGGTCTTCCCTCTATTTATTTACAGTTTTTTAAATTAGTGCTTCAAAGGTATATATGAAGGTGAAATTCTCTGTAATATGTTACATATGTACATAGCATAACTTAGTCAATTTCATTCCACTATTACTCTCTTACCACCCCTCCATCACCACTGTTGCTTCACTGATCTCCCTTCTACTTTGGGATTCTCCCCATCCCCTTTTCCCACTTATTTTTATCTAGCTTCTGTGTATCAGAGAAAACATTTGACCTTCGACTTTCTGGGTCTGGCTTATTTTACATAGACTGATGGTCTTTATTTCCATCCTTTTACCATCAGATGCTATAATTTTATTCTTCTTATAGTTGAAAACCCCTCCATTTTCTTTATTTATTCATCTACCAATGAGCATCTAGGCTGAATCCATAGTTTGGCTATTGTGAATTGTGCTGCTATAAACACTGATGTG